CCGCGCGGACCTCCGAAAATGTATGTTTCTGCCGCTTTTGTTCTCCAGATATCGCGGGAGATCTGGCTGGGTGCAACGGGGGGGACGAAAATGGTAGGATTAGGTCGGGCGTGTCCCCCTACAGGCGGATGTTGGACAAATATAGATATATATATATATATATATATATATATATATAAATCAACAATGGTCAGAAATATTTAAAAATCGTCCCCAGCCTATCTTGTACTATTATTCCTCCCGTAGAGGGACAGGCCCACAGTCCCGATTTCAGTGAGGGCAGGATAGCAAAGGGTGGGGTGGAGAACCAGCTCAAGCGGTTCATTGTCCTGGCGCCTCCTGGCGCCGGGGGAGGCGCCCATGCATCGAGGCATGGGCACGGCGGCGAAACCAGCTGCATGCGGCAGACTTCGCAGGCCCCCCTCTCGAGATCCCCAGACCCATGACGGCAGGTCTCGACCCCCTCCTGGGGACCAGGCGTCTCATCCTGAGCCGTTCGTGGACAGCCCTGGCTGCCCAGCAGCGGCCCCCAGAGGCCGGAAATAGCGAAGCACTCCCCGAGGAGGAGGAGGAGGAGGAGGAGGAGGAGGGGGAGAGGAGGAGGAGGAGGAGGAGGAGAAGGAGGAGGAGGAGGAGGAGGAGGAGGAGGAGGAGGAGGAGGAGGAGGAGGAGGAGGAGGAGGGGGAGGAGGAGGAGGAGGAGGAGGAGGAGGAGGAGGAGGAGGGAGAGGGGGCATGATCTCTTCATGACGCAAGGGGATCTGGGCCTCGGGGATCTAGTGACCATGGTCAATCCAAGCCTGGGTCGGTCGGGCTCTGCAGGATCCTGCAGGATCCTGCAGGGTCCTGCGCACTGGCCCAGGTCAACGCAGCCTTGGCTCCGCAGGATCCTGCAAGATGTGGCGCTCTGGCTGACCCCCGTGTGCATTGACCCCGTCTCTTGCAGCTCGAGGGCCCCCCTACAGCCGGAACGATGACAGAAGAACATCCTTCAAGAGCGTGAGACCCTCAAATAGCCAAAACACACAGAGCACCCGAGGGTAGCCCCCCCAGGATGCACAAGAATATCCAGCAAACACGAAGAACTTGTGGAATCCAAAACCCGAATAGCAGGGCAGCAAACGAAGGGCGGAAAGACCTGGGGGGGAACTATGAAGGACCTGGAGAGAGCTTCCGAAGGGCCTTCTGGAGAGCTTCTGGGCACGCGTATTGGGAAACGCCTTCTGGAGAGCTTCGGGACACGCTGCAACTTCAAGCAACTCGCGCCGAGGTGTGTGGACCGCCGCCGGAACGATCTCCGGGGCGACCTCGCGGCTCCGCCTTCTCAATCTGAAGCCCTCTTTAGCTCTCTGCGAGCTATCCGCGAACATGAGGGCACCCTCCCCGCACCGACCTCGACCCTTGGCACCTCGGCCCGGCCCCGCGGCGGCGGACAAGCGGCATCGCTCTGGACCCCCACATGGCGGCGGACACGCTGCATGCCGAGCGCGCACGCGCCCAGAGAAGCGAGGAGGGGGGGGGCGAGAGTCGAACTTCGCTTCGCCCTGGTGAATCCGAATTTGCATTGATCCCCGTCTCAGAGGAGGAGGAGGAGGAGGAGGAGGAGGAGGAGGAGGAGGAGGAGGAGGAGGGGAGGAGGAGGGGGAGGAGAGGAGGAGGAGGAGGAGGAGGAGGAGAGGAGGAGGAGGAGGGAGGAGGAGGAGGGAGGAGGGAGGGAGGAGGAGGAGGAGAAGGAGAAGGGAGGAGGAGGAGGGAGGAGGAGGAGGGAGGAGGAGGGAGGAGGAAGGAGGAGGAGGGAGGAGGAGGAGGAGGAGGAGGAGGAGGAGGAGGAGGACGGGGCATCTTGGGCTGGGGTCAGCTCGAGAGCCTATATCCTGAGCAGGGACCGACCGTCCCGGCGTGTCTGTCGGCCTACCACGGACTGTTCTTATGAGAGAAGAGCGTTGTGATAATAACAACGATGTTCTGAGAACAGGAAGCCGATGTACTAAAACAAGACTGTCGCAGTCAGAAATGTTCTCAGAACATCTTCGGCAAACCGCTGCAGGTTCCTAGAACATTATCTGGCGGGCCTACAGGCGAACCAGGGCGCTTCGCCAACGCTTGAATATTCTGCCCTTTCTGGGGAATTCAAACAATACCGATACCGCTACTCCCTGGACATCTCCCGGGGTGCGTTCTGACCAGGATTTCGAAGCGAATCCAGCAGTGGCGACGAGGGTCTCCCTGGAGGTCGAAGACAAGGAAAACAGGCGAAGGGTACGGGCATCGGTACCTCTCCCTCCTCTGACACTTTCGTCTGGACCGAGTGCAACAGCTGGCGCTAGGTCGGGCGTGTCCCCCTACTGGCGGATTTTGAACGAACAATGGAACATGCTCAACAAATGCTAAAGAAAAAAATGCCGCAAAGGAATCAAAAGGATCGTCCCCAGACGATGTTTCCTCCTGTGGAGGGACGGGCCCGACTGCAAGCTGGCGCCCTCCGCGCAGGCCTCGAAGGCCACGGCCAGGCCGGGCGCCTCTCGGGTCGGGCGAAAGGGGGGGATAGCAAAGGGGAGGGTCTGAGAATCAGCTCACGTAGCTGCTTTTTTTCCGGCGCCTCCCGGCGCCGGGGGCGCTGATGCATCGAGGAATGGGCCCCTCGGGGGGGCCGAAACCAGCTGCATGCAGCTAATTTCGTACCCCCCCCTTTCCCAATCCCCCCCTTTCGTTGACCACGAAAAAACACGTCCCCAATCCCAAAATCGCGGATTCACCGAGGATTCGAAGATCGGCCAAAGATTTCGGGGTATGTTTTGCGTTCGTCGTCGTCGCCCTGGTGAAACCCTACCCCAAAATCTCCCTCCCCGAAGTCTCGAGGAGCCTGCATTTTGTCTTGGCCCTCGCGTTTTTGGGATTGGGCATCTGCTTTAACCTAGTGATTCGCCCGGCCCGCGCCTCCCGCGCGGCGGGCGCCCCGTCCACCGGCGGCGCCCTCGCCAGGAAGTCCTCGTCGACGCCGCGCGCGCGGAGCTCCGCCGCGGAGAGGCGACGCCCGGCGGGCGCCCGCCCGCGCGCCGGGCCGCGGCCGCCGCGCCGCGCCGGCCTCGAGGCCGCCTGCACCGTGGGGCGCGGGAGGGCGTGCTGGCAAAAAAAAATTGGATGTTCAGTATATGGTTAATCTATGAATTGATTCATGCATGATCTCATCGTTGCTGTTAGTACTAAATCCCTTTATGTTTAATACATGATCCGCACGCGGAGCATGTATTAAAAACGGCACTGTACTGTCAAAAACCCTAATAAGGACGCGCGGTAAGGAAGCAAGACCCTTGGAAGCCGAGGTTGGGATTTTTCGTCAAGCGGGCAAGCGAAAGAGGCCAAGGACGAGCCGCAAGAGCAAGGAAGAGCAAGGAAGAGCAAGGACGCAAGGGTACCCTGAGCAAAGTCGCGCGTCCTTATTAGGGTTTTTGACTGTAAGGACGCCCGACAGTGACCGACCACAACGATGTCTTCAACGACAGGGCGTTTGCAACGAAGCACGAAACGAGGCCCAACGGTTTCAAAACGAGCGTTCGAAGCGAAGCCGGTGCCAAACGAAAACGAAGGGCGGAACGGGGCGTCTGGAGCAATAACGTAAAACGAAACGAAACAACAACGGACAACGAAACGAAAAACACAACAAGGGCCCAAACCAAGCTAAACAGCGTCGTGGTCGGTCCTTGACGCCCGATGAGGATGCCAGGGCCTTGGAAGGCCATTCCGGGGATTGTCGAAGGGGGGCGCGGCCAGCGAACGTGGCCAAGGATGGGGCGAGGAGGCAAGGATGCAGGGGTACCATTGTGAATGATGCCCACCCTGACTATGCGGGTCGACTGTACTGCGCGCATCGGAGGCACACGTCCGGGCCGAACGTGTAGCACCATGACAGTCGGACCTGGGCCAGAAGAGCACGCTTCAAGAACATGAGACCCTCCGCCGGCCAAAGCAAGCAGAACGTCCAAGGGTAATTACCTTCCCCTGGATGCACAAGAGCATCCAACAACCACGAAGAACACGAGGGATCCTCCCCGAACCGACCTCGATATTACACCTCGGACTGACTCTAGCACGATGATCTCATCCGCCACCATCGCCTGCACGGAGCGGGCGTGCTAGCCTGCTCGTCTGCTGTCTGGGAGGTCGTTGGAAGCTCTCTTAGGCCCCCTCCCCCCCGTTCACCGCGCGCCTGCTCGAGAGCTCGCCCCCCCAGAAAGTGCTCTCCTGCGGCCGGCTCGGTCTCCAAACGGCCAGGGTGGCCCCCGGAGGGGGCTCCGGAGACAGCCGAGACGGCACCGAAACGGCTCCAGATGGCGCAAGACGGCCGATCCCGAGAGGGCCGCAGGACGGCCCTGGAGCGCTCCAAGAGGGCACCAGGACGGCCCACAGAGAGACCCCCAAAGCAACCTCCGAAAGCATAGACGGGCCAATCGCCTCCCTACGACGGCCCGGGAGGCCCCAAGAGGCCACAGGAGGATCCCAAGGGGCCCCCCAGGGCCCCCAAGAAACTCAAAGAAAGCCTCCAGCAAGCCCCGAGAGAGCCCCAAGAAGCGTTCTCCTCATCGTCCTCATTGTTTCCTCTCCTCCTCATCCTCCTCCTCCTCCTCCTCCTCCGCCTCCTTCTCCGCATCATCCTCCGCCTTCTCCTCCTCCTTCTCCTCCCCCCCATTCATTTTCCTTATGAATATCTCCTCCCCGTCGCACCCTGAGGCCAGTCGGAAGGGCGGGCCTGGCGTTTTGCCTGAGCTTCCTTACACTTTAGGGCCTTTAGCTGAGAAACCGGCAGCAGTTTCACAAATGGAGGGCGGGTCAGTTTCAAAATGTGGCTCTCGCCTGAGCACCGCGCACATTTGTATTAAACATTGGAGAGAGTTTCACGGCTTGAGGGCGGCTCTCATTGGCTCAAGGCTCGCCTTCCATCCTACGCCTGAGTTCTGTCCTGACAAACTACATACCCGCATACCCAACCCTGTCATTCTTTTCTCAGTCTCCAGAATGGCGGCGAAAAGGTACGGCATGGGAACCCCGATCGGTGGCAAGCTCGGTACGACTCCCCTTGAGACCGGATGGATGGCGACGACGCGGATGGCGCTGAGAAGTCGCCGAAGTCGCCCATCCGGCAGCCAGACTTCGGCCAGGCAGCAGAAGGGACTGGGGATGCGGGTTCGAATGATTTCGAAAACGGTGACCCAGACCGGAAGTCCATGATGACGAAGATGATGGGGATGATGACGAATATGACGAAGGATATGAACGCGGTGAGGACGGGGATGGAGGAAGCGCAGACCAACGCGCAGCAGGCCTTAGACATTGCGAAGGAGACGGATGCGAAGGTACTGGAGGTGCAGAAAAAGAAGATCACCAGAGACACTGTGCAGAGCATGATCGACGCATCCATCCCGGAGCTCCAGAAGGCCGCGATGACCAAAGACGACGTGCAAACGATGCTCGATGAGACGTTGTCCCGGTGTTAGACCCCACGTACGGAGAGGTCAGCGTCAGCTTCCTTCATATCGACGGCAGTTGTTGGCAACGTCCCAAACGCAGACTCCTTTGAGAAAGCAAGGCAGTTGGCTATGGCTATCATGGAGGAACGCCCAGCTTGGTCGTAGACGAGCCGGGGAGGAAGACATCATGGGCGAGGAAAGTTTTGGAAGGGAGGTAATCAAGCAGATTGAACTTCCAAATCGGGACTTGTTCGTTGATTTCTGCATGACTTTCGACCTCTTGGTGGCAAATACGGTGTTGGACCTTCCCGACACCTTCAAAGCAACCTTCCACGAGGCAGGCGTCAAGCCGAGCTCGCCGGTCACGGGGGAGAACTTCAACGCTTTGGACTTGCTAACCATTCTGGATACTATGGAGCAGGACTTCGTGGACATCAGAAGCAATACGTCTGCGACGATGGCATCGGACCATGTTCCTGTTATTGCTCGGCATTCGTGACAAGGCGCCGGAATCTCAACAGAACCAGAGGACAGCAAAGAAGCACTGGCGGACGCTGCGCACGCCAGGGGCCAGGACAAAAGCTCGCGGGACACATCGGGGCCGTAACCGAAGGAATACACGCAGACGCAACCCTGTCGCAACGCTGGCGGTCGGCTGCAGGGCGAGAGCGGCAAGCAGTGGCGGCGGTGGTCCCTGACCTGATGCCCCGAAGCCGCCGAACAAACCGTGGATCTCGCAGACGACGCCTGTCCTTGCTCGCAGAGGAGCGGAAGGCTCGCCGCACTGGCAACCGGGAAGCGGAGGAGGCCATCCGCAAGCGGGCCAAACTGTCGGCAAAGCGCGATCGTGCTGCCTGGCTCGAGTCTCTGACAGCAGACGGCAAGTGGAACTGCATCAAACAGATTACCAAACGGAAGCCTTGCCCACAAGGGCGTCTGCGGGACACTGGGGGGACATGCGTGGCCACGGACGAAAGGGCCGATACATTCGCTGAACATTTGAGCAATATCCAATGGCATGTTCGTCCCGTCACGCTTACGCCTGGGGCGGATAACTCGTTGTTCCCGTGGCTGGACATGGATGTTGGCCCTTTTACGGAACCGGAGCTTCGTGAGGTGATCGCGAAGATGCGTTGTGGCAAGGCGTGCAAGCCAGATGACATACCAGCAGAGGTTTCCAAAGCATTAGCAGAGGAGCTAGGGCAACTTGACTGGGTGCTCGACATGTGTAACGAGGCATGGGAGCACAAAGACATTCCAGAGGATTGGGCTTCCTCTCGCGTGCGTCTGCTGTACAAGAAGAGCGACCCAGCGCGCTACGATAACTACCAGCCACTTTCCTTGCAGTGCGTTGCTCTGAAAGCGTTCTCCGCGATGCTGAAGAACCGCTTGCTCGCTGCAGGCGTGGAAGAACGCATCTGGCACAGTCAATTTGGCTTCCGGAAAAAGCGCGGCACGGAGCACGCCATCTACGTCGCACGCCGGTGGATCGAGATGGCGCGAGCGAGCAAAAACGGCGCGGTGACGCGGGTAACCCTGGATTGGAAGAAGGCCTTTGACAGTATACGCAGGGAAAGCATGCACTCATGACGCAAAAGAGGCTCGTTGTCAGCGACAACGGAAGTCAATCGGCTAAACGCCCGCAGGAATCTGGCATCTCGCAAGGCTGCACGCTGAGCCCTCTGCTGTTCGTTCTCGTGATGACAGCCATACTGCATGACGCAGTGACGCTGCTCCCTGTAGGAGCCCGCCGGGCGTACGACGCGGGCGAGCTGGCTGATTGCGTTTACGCCGACGACACTCTCTTAACCGGTAAGTGCGACGCACACGTGAACGACTTCTTGGCAGCAGTTGCTGGGTAAGTGCGACGCACACGTGAACGACTTCTTGGCAGCAGTTGCTGCTGCAGGCAAGCGGTATGCCATGGAACTGCACTGGCAGAAGTTCCAAGTCTTAGCTGTGCGGTCGGCGGGCGACATCCGCGCCCCCGATGGCTCGCAGTTGAAGCACGGGGAGCACATGCAGTACCTGGGCGCGCAGCTCAAGGCTGACGCAAACATGAGCCACGAGCTGGGCAGAAAAATCGGGGAAGCTAGACGTTCCTTCACGGCTCTGCGCAAGGTACATATGGTCCCACTCATCTCTGACGTGGAATCGCAAGCTCCGCATCGATGCTTCCATAGTCGAGTCGAAGTTGCTGTACGGGCTCAGCAGCGCGTGCTTCACGGAAGCGCAGCTGCGTCGCCCCGACGGATCATCGTGCGTTGCCCCGTCTGTCGAAGACAGATGTCTGCGACAGATCATCGGAGCGAAGCCATCGTACATATCACGCATCTCTAACTGCGACGTCCTGGCGAGAGCGGGATGCGAGGCGGCCAGCACGCAGTTACTGTTCCGACAGCTACAACTCTTCGGCCAAGTGCTTCGCGCCGATCCCGGTCATCCAACTCCACGCTTGTCCTTTCGCCGCAGGCACGAGGCCGGCCACAGCGAGGTACGTGAGGCGAGTGGGCCGCCCGCACAAGGAGTTCGTCCCCGAAATGTCCAAGCACGCGGCGTGCATGTTCGGCAGCATGCCAGCGGCGGTGCGGACCGCCTGCACCCCGCGCTCTGGGAGCGCCGATGCGGACAGCCCGTCTTCCATCAGTGCCACGCGTGCGCCCTGCTAGCTTGTCCTGTGTGTCCTTCCTTCCCTTTCTTCCTGTCTTGCCCCGTCTCTGCTCTCGGCTTCCCCCTCTCTCCTCTCCCCTCCGTGTCCTCCCCCGTGCCCTCGTGCCTCCCTGCCCTTGTGCCTTGTGTGTCTTTTCCCTCCGTCTCCCTGACTCCCCCTCCCCGTCTCCTCGCCTCTCCGTCCGTCGGCCCGGTCTGTCCTTTCCTGCCGTCCCTTTCCCCCCTCTCCCGCTCTCGCTCCTCGGCTCCTCGCTCTCCCGCCGGCCCCGGCACCTGGCCTTGCCCGCGCTTCTCTGTCGGCCCGCCCTGTGGTCCAGATAGGAGTTCGCTGTGTTTTCCGCCTGTGCTCACGCTCGCGCACCGCCTGGTGTATGGCTTCAGTCAGTCAGTCAGGGCGGCTCCAATTCAAAATGTGGCTCTCGCCTTCGCGCCGCGCACATTCTTTTTCAACAGCTGCAAGATGATTGAAGGATCGAGGGCAGGTCGTTTTCAAAATGTGGTTTGTGCATTAGCGCCACGCACACTCATTGGAACAATTTGCAAGAGCTCCACGGATTCAGAGCGGGTCGTTTTCAACATGTGGTTGTTGCCTTCGCGCCGCGCGCATTCGTTTAAACCATTCGAGTAGCTTCAAAGATTGAGGGCGGTTCCATATTAAAAATGTGAGTAACGTCTTAGCGCCGCGTACATTATATAAATATATACACTGAGATATGTGTGAATGTATGCATGCCTACATATCTATGTATAGATAGAGAGAGAGGGAATCATGGCAGGAGTTTCGCGGATTCTCCTGGTTGACCTTCCAGATATGTTGTTTCCGAACGATTCAGGACTGTCTGGGCGCAACAGTGACGTTGATTCGCGGTGTTGAAGTCCCAGGGGCGGTGTTCTGGCACGGTTCAGGATCGTCAAGACGCAACAGTCAGGCTGACTCGTGGCGTCGAAGCCCTAAGAATAGTGAGAGTTTTGGCACGCTTCAAGATTTTCACACGGTTGCCTCCCAACGGGGCACGTGCCTCAGTGAAAGCGAACCCTCAGAATAGGGTTCACTTTCACTGAGGGAGTTGGAGGAAGCTTGGAGGGAGGGTGTATCCCAACATCCTTGATGAATCTTGGATTTACACTGGTCCTCCTCCTCCTCCTCCTCCTCCTCCTCCTCCTCCTCCTCCTCCTCCTCCTCCTCTACCGCGCGGACGAAACAAATGACGGAATCGCGACCGTTCCCAGCCCAAACCACTCGCTGAACTGCCGTGCAATGTGAACTGGACCTCCTTCCTACCGCGCGGACAAAGACGAAATCGAGTTCACGACCCGTTCTTATCAGACCACTCGTAAGGATTGCGCTGTTCCTACACTCGGTCTCCTTCCTGTGGCGCTGTTGCACAAGCGCGGTGCTGGGGTTTGCCGCGGGCTGCTCATTTCCGGAGCGGTATGGCCCGAAGGAGCCCGCTGCGGCGCATATACTTTTAGATGTGTAAGCGCGCGTCGCCCCTTCAGGGGCGGCGCCAGAGGCGCCGCCATGGAGGCCCAGCATAGGTCCAAGAAATGCGCGCGGAGCGCCAAAAAATAACGTTTGTAGCGTAGTTTTTTCTTCGGCACACAATACTCGTATGTCTTGTTGACGCCCGATATGGGTACGGAACAATGGGCACAATGCCTAACAACAAATGTTGTCCCAAACCAACAGCGGCCGCTGTTGGGCAGGCGGCCTTCCGTCTCGAGTGGATACAAGCTGCGGCGGCGCGGACAGCGAGTCCTGCTCAGATTGAATAGGTACTGCTGTTGGGCATCGTTCCCAAATCTTTCCGTAGCCATGTCGTTCGTGCCGATCTTTGGGAGGCGCCGATGTCAAACGAGACCAGGGCTGGTACAGCATCGGACCGTGACACATCGGGGGTCTCTGAGTTCCAGCGGTTCCGGAGGATGCACCAGGCACCGCGGCCGTCCCAGGACGGCGCTCTGCAACGATTTATCCTGGCCCTACACTTGAGTCGGGCATGCCATTCTACAGGGGACATAGTCTAAACTACTTGTGATGCCTATACGCATCATCCCGTGGCCAAGGCGAAGAGACCACGAACGAGATGACAATGGGGGGGCCCTGAGCCTACGGGCGAGCTTTGGGCCTCACCCTTTTTCACACGCGAGAACTCTGTGGCGGCACAGGGCGCCGCCGAGGTTCAAAACAAGTGCGCCGTGGGACCCGAAAGAGGTCACTACTGAATTTCCATTACATCCTTGCGAGGCCCGAAAGGGGCACGACAAAATTCCCGCACTTGTCAAAATAAGCCGTCTCAGGGAGAGCCGGTGGGGCACTATCCTCGGCAGACCCTCCAGCGCGCTGTCACATCCAGGCGCGAGAGATCATTCCGAAATTACGAGCCACGCGGGCACTCGAAAAAACACGGGCCAAGTGGAGGCACAATTCTAAAGGATACTGTTCCGCCTTTTCTGTGAGCTAACCGCGGGGCCCATCGAAACCAGACAGGGTGAGATGGGGGCGGCGGGTGCGGCGGCAAAGTCGACCTGAGCAGCCTCTCGCAACACTCGCGAGGTCGAGGCGGTAGCCCAGAAAACGACCCGGCCTCTTCCATCTCTCACCAAACACGCAAAAAGAAGTGTCGATAATAGATGTGTCTCGCCACGCCGGAGCTTTCTGCAAACAGGGCAACAACCAAAAACGGGGCCATGTAGAATTTCCCCGCTGTCGCTGACAACTGCCGGCGCTTCATTTGTTCGAGCAAACTAATGCTGAACCGTGCTAATTCATTTCCGATCCACGCAGCTTTCTTGTCATCAAGGTGCAGGAGGCCAGCCAGACCAAACAACGAGGCATCGCTGCGCAGTCTGGAGGGTGGACCTGGCCGAGGGTGGGCCGGGTCTCCGATCGGGCCTCTCTCCTGCGTCCTGGACCAAGAATTGCGCGGCATCGCCGCGCGCAGGCCCCAGACTCGGCCGCCCGCGATCCACCCGCGGATCAGCTGGTTCGAGCGGGGCATCAAATCCGAGGTAGGAGGTCGCAGCACATCCCATTCCAGCACCAGGCACCCCAGCTCGCCCTGCGTCGTCGCCAGACGGCCGCAGCCACAAAGACCTACAAAAAAATATGCGGCCGCACGCGCCCTGGACGCCCGGGGGGGCGAGGCGCTCGAAGGCCCCGCGAGGAGCGAGTCCAACTCAGTCTCCGAAGCCAGAACGCGCGCCTGGACATCCGCGGGGAGCCGGCGCAGCTGCGCCGCCACTCGCCCCTCCTTTCGGCACCTATGCACCGCGGTGTCCGACAGCCACCGCCCGCGCAGATTGATCTCGCGCAGCGCGCTCTGCTGCGCGGCCCGGTCGAAGGTAGGCCCGCTGGGGCGCGGCATGCACCGCGCTGGCTTCAGGGCGCCGACCTTCCTCTGCTCGGCCGTGCTCCGAAACCGTTCCACCAGCTGAGCCCGGCAGCAGGCGAACAGGGCCTGGCCCGCCGGAGTCGCCTGCCCCACCCAGCGCAGCGCCGGGCCCAGCAGCACCCCGACGTCGGCCCGGCCCATCAATCACCGCGGACTCGTCGAACTGGCACGTCTTGCTGGCCACGGCGGCCTCGAGGGCGCGAAGCACCAGCGACCAGTTCTGGCAACGACTCCGCGGCATTGGCGGCACGACCACCTCGCATGTCAGCCCGCAGCCCTCGGCGGGTCGCAAGTAGCAGAAGACGGCGAGGAGCGCGAGCACTGCCGACGCCCAGCAGCCGATCCGCACCAGCTGCCCAGCCACCAGCGCCACAGCCTCCCAGGACAGCGGGAGGCGCGTTCGGCCTGGGGCCTGGGGCAAGCCGCCTCCAGCCTCGCAGCGCCCGCACTGCCCTCGGGAGCTTGCCGCCGCCCCCGCGGCCGAACTCGGGCAGGTAGAACTCGCCTCCGCCATCAGGAGGGACCCCGACAGCGCGGGCTCGCCGCCGAGGAACTCGACGTCCACCCACAGCGCCAGCCAGTCGCCGAGGAGCTCCGCCAGCGTCGCCCCTGCCGTCTCGCCGCGGCGGCGTAGCCGCTCGGCCACTGCTCGCTGCTCCGTCACACCGCGACGCGCTGCCAGAGGGCCCGGTAGGTCGCCAGCGTCCTCGGCGTCACAGAGCGCCACTGCAACCGCGCCCTTCCCTCGGGCGGGGGAGCTCGCGCAGCTTTCGCCGCGGCTCCGCGCAGGCGGCTGCGCCCTGCCCCTGCCGCTTCGCAGAGGAACTTCCGCCCCCCGCGGCCCGCGAGGGGGCGGCGGCGGCGCGCGGCGCGGCCTGCGATGGGGCAGCGCCCGGCGTCGAGCTCAGCGATCTCGGCAGCGACCTGCCGACAGTCGCGGCGATGGCCGTCGTCGCCTCCGCCCCGCCCTGGCCAGCGGCCGATCTCGCCGGCCTCGGCACTGCGGCAGAGTTCCAGCCAAAACCCGATCAGGATGAGCCTCCGCGAGGGAGCATCCGCCAGGTTTCGCTCGGACGGAAGTCAGCGCAGCGCAGGCGTCACACGCCAGGCGAAGCACCATGCCGCACACTGCCGCGAGACCCGCAGCAGGCGGCGAGACGACGAGCGGCCCTTGGTCAGGGCCAGAACCGACGAAGAGGTCATCCGAAAGGAAGAGGACCCGCTTCCCGAAGGTGCGTGGATCACGGAGTGCGCGACAAATGGCATGAACGAGGGCTCGACCTTCGACGGCCACGATGCGCCCCGCCCGAGTCCGACCCCCACTAGATACCACCTGCCAGCTCCCATCAATAATCTCCTGGGGCACCTCCTGGACACCTGGGGCTGCGCTGCCTTCGCCTGAAGCCCCGCCGCCAGGACAACCACGAGGACGCACTGGCCCCTCTCCGACTTCCTGGGCGCGGAACCGCCAGCGATCACTCTCGCGCCCCATCTCTCTCACCGCGTCGGTCGGGCCCTCTGTCTGCGCGACGCCGAGGCCCCGTGCGCTCGCGTCAGTTGCACGCACCCTAGAGAGCCCCACTCGGCCCTAAGATCAGCCCACAGCAGCGGCAACAGACTGACTGCCGAGCGGAGCTCGCATCGCTCCTTCCGACAGCGGCCGTCAGACGCCTCGGAGCGCGGCTGAGAACCGATACGCAGCATCGAAAACTGACAGGAACTGCCTGCGAGCAAGACCCGCGAAAGCGAAATGACCTACGACCCCGCTTATTTGGCGGCCCGACGCAGAACCCCCATCCAAGAAGGCCAAGGCGCCAATCCTCAAACGCAGACCCTTCCTCCCCCGCGAAGACCCACCCCAGACTCTCGTCAGACTGGGAGGCCACATCGGGCACGCGGAGGGGGGGGGGCCTGCCGCGGTCAGCGACTCCGTCGCCAACGAGAGGAGCTCGCTGGCCAAGCCCAAGAAATTATCGACATACTTCAAATGCACGCAGCGCGATATGGGAGGAGCGATTCGACCATCGACCACGATATGGGAGGAGCGATTCGACCATCGACCAAACGATCAGCATCACCGAGCCCCGCGTGCTCTCTCAGCACACACACACACACACGTGAACTCGTTGACAAAAAGCCAAAGCACGAGACCACCCCATTGGGACACTGCGAAACGAGGCCTCAGCCACTTTCGCGGACTGACTGGCTGCCCATCTAAAATCGAGACCCCAACGTCCTCGGCCACCACGCAAGGGAACGAGAAAATTGGACGGAGGCTATGAAGGGGGCCTGCTTATTAGTATTAATCTACTCCCGAGACCCACAACCCCCCCCCCTCTGGGGAGTTCGATCGCAACCAGGGTGAGCACGCCAGCCCCCAGCACCCCACGACCGAACTGTACTCGGACGACGGCCCACGAAAGGATGGATCGAGATGCGGCTTCGAGAACTGCGCCCCCGCTTTCCGCCCCCCGGCAAGTCGACTCGGCAAAACCTTGCTGCCAACCAAGAAAAACTCCAACCAGATGCGGACCACCCCGCCTCGACAACTCTTCCAGAGGGCGCGGCCGCGCGCCCGCCGTCGGCAGCGAGGCGAGATCAAAACTCAAAGGCGCCAGCGTCTGGGACTCCTCAGCCCCATAAGCCGAACTGGCCCGCAACTCCCGGAGGGCCGTCCAGAGCCACCTCCTGGACTCGGCACGGCCTATCCAGCGGGCGCCCATGCAACTCATCCTCCCCAGCATCCATCCGATCCAGTGTCTGCACCAGCTCGCGAAGAAGGCCCGCCTGTCAAGCCCGCCCGACAACGCAGGGGCGCCCGCGGCGCCCCGAGGGCCGCCCAGCGGGCGTCGCGCACCAGGCTGGCAGCGGCAGCGGCAGCAGGGACCGATTGCGACCCTGCGCATCCGCCACCTTCCCCCGATCATGAGGGCCACCTGGGCGGGGGAGCCCAGGCGGCGCGCGCTGCATCATCCTTTCGGGGGAGGAGCCCGCGCCTTCTTCGCCATAGCGGCCTGTTCCTACCGAAGTCTCCTCGCATTCTTCTTGGCGCCTGCAACCCTCCCCGACTCCTCCGCCGCCTGATCCAATATATATATATATATATATATGTATGTATGTGTGTGTGGGCACACCACGCTGGGCGGTCAAATTGCGCTGTCAAATTGCGCGGCTGGTGCCAACAGCGCACTGCAGCGCGCAGATTCGTGACGGATGACCAGGGCCGGCCGTCCATCTGGGCAAGCAACAGCATGAATGTCACGTTTGAGTCGCACGGCAAAAGTTGCAGCCCTGAGGAATTTTCGAAAGAATCTACGGCAGTACGCAGGGAGCTGCTGTGCCGCTTCTTTGCGCTCTCCTCCACGGATGCTTGGAGGCAGCAGCGAATTGCTGATATGGCCCTGCTGCGCTGTGCTCCCTGTTCCACAGAGGTGCTCTCGCGTATTAAAAACAAGAGGTCGGGGCCCTCACTCAGAAGCTGGCGCGCACCTGGTGCGTCCACCGGCGGGGCTCGAAGCTGTTCGTGTAGCAGCGCGGGGGCCCCAACAGGCCCGGCGCCAGTGTGCGTCGCCGGGGCGGGTCTCCCCCACAGGCACCGCGGATGCCTGCGAAGGTGGAGCGCGGGGCCCGTCGAAGACGCTCTGTCGGCCGCCAGCCCGGGGCGATCGAAATCGTCGCGGTGCAAACAGGCGGGGCCGCGGCGCTGGCGGCGCGGGGGCTCTGGCGATCCTGGGCCGCGCTTCTTCTCGAGCCCCAAAGGCTCTGGGTCGCGGCGGCAATTCCCTGTCGACCAACAGGTTGGGGGGGGCGGCGACGAAGGCGTTTTCCCCCGCCAGGGGGCAAAAAGGCACCGATCGTACGTTTTCTTGCACGTTTTATTGGCGGTCGGGGGCCGCCTGGGCCCTGCCGTGTGTGGCCCCCGGGGATATCGCGGCCACGGCAATACTCATGGTGCGCGGATCCGGTAAACCAAGCGCCAGAGCGGCAAAAAAGTTAAGCAATCGTACGTCTTAATACACAAAACTGTGTTGAATGAGGCCGCCAGGGCCGCGGCCCCGGTCCCCGGTGATTTCTCTGCCCCCCAGCAGTAGCTAATGTGTATGGCGCGCGTGCCCGGTGACCGCCGACCCGCGCCCGCCGACGATCCCTGGGCGGGATTGCGTAGGAAAGGGGAGGGGCGGAGCGGGAGGGGCGAAAGCGAAGGGCAGGCGAGGGACAGAGAAAGCAGGGTGAGAGGGGGAGCACACGGTGATGCGACGACTGGCGTTTTTTTTTTCAAGGCGTGCACTGGGCGGCGGGGCCTCAACCTGGTTTGCGGGGGCCGGCCCCGGGCGCGCGCCTGCTTGAGGCGAAGGCGCCTATCTAAGAGATGTGCGTAGAACGCCAGAAGAAGAAGAAGACGTCGTGCACGTCAGAGGTGCATGGGCAAAAAAAGTACGCGCCGACGCTAGTGCAGCCAAGCGCTGTGAAACGATGAAGCCACCCAGCGTAGCCTATGCCACGGCCAGGCGGTCTCTAAAAATCCGCCGACCCCTTGTGGGTCTCTAGGCGTGTGAGATGGTTCCCCCCCCGTAACCCCCCCAAGGGACCCCAAACCGGAGATTTGACCCCTCCCCCGGCCCCAGGCGACCCCGGACCGAACGCGTCACGGGGGAGCGGGTGGTTCCAAAACTGGCCATGAATTCACCAGAACGCTCCCCAGACGGTCCCAGGGGGCCACGATTCACCGAAATATGGCCCTGGACGCCCACGATGGCCTCCAGGCGGCCTCCGAAGCTGGCAAGGCGCCCCAAAAGGCCCCCAAGATGCGCCCCAAAAGGGTCCCAAGCAACAAAAATCGACCCATTCCCTTTGAAAAACAAGCATTGTTTAGCATGCTCGCCTATTCGGTTTTCACAACGTCCCAGACGGGCAAAAAAACCTTCAATATCGCCCCCAAACAGTCAAAGGGGCCCCCAAGAAGGGTCGAAGACGGTCCAACAACAGCCCCCGAAGCCCCCAAGACAGCCCAAAAAGGCCCCCAGACGGCCCCAAGACGACACCTGTTCGAGCCTTCGGCCCCAAGACGCCCCCAGCGCGCCCCAAGAACAGCCCAAGAGGCCCTGAGGGACCCCCAAAAGAACCTCAAAGGCCTCCAAGAAGCGCCCAGGAAGCCCCAAAGAGGCCCCAAAACTTGGCCCAAGATGCCTCGAGGCGGCCGGATATGGCCTGCAGACAGGCCAAGATGCCACCAAGAGGCCACAAAAAAACACCAAGAGGTACGATAACAGCAACGAAGCAACAGGAACGATGTCGAGCGCCGTGTCATGATTCGGACAAGCCTCGTGAAATGCAGTCCTGGAGGCGCAGTACCTTATATAGGGGTCGGCGGATGTGGCGTAAGCCTATAGAATCGTTTAGTAGATCCCCATCCCCAGCGGCGTGGGCTGGGACCAGCTGGCCGATTTACCCCCCATCTGGTCGTTCTCTTCGGGTTTCGAAGGGTGTATCCCCAACTGGGGTGATAATTTGGTGGGGGTCTCGAAGGGGATGGAGATGGGGGTTGGTGAAACGATACCGAAGACAGAAGGCAGGAAGGCGCCGCCAACAGCGGCAAAAGCCTCGCAAAAAAAAGAGCGACGCCCTGCACTCCGTGCTATAACTCAGACATCCCGCACCTTGAAACATCGAGACGGGGCCCCTTTCACGGGCCTCGGGACCGTCGAATCACGACTCGGGATGAAGCGGTCGTGAGGTCAGGGGCCCGCGTCTCGACCAAGTCGAACAAGTCGAGAGGGGGGGGGCAGTGACAAGGAGAAGGCCTTCTCGGGAGGCTCGGAAGTCCCCCGGCCCTCCCAAAGTTTTCTGAGTCTTCCCCGAAGACTCAGAAAACTTCTCAGAAGGCGCGCGGGCTTCTTAGAAGTCTGCCGCCTTCTGAGAAGGCCTTCTCCTTATGACTTCCCCCCCTTGCTCGCCGCCGAGACGCTCCTCTGGGTGCCCCACTCCCCGGCAGGGGTCAGCCTCCTATCGCCAGGTCAGGGTTCCAGCGCGCTGCGGCGTTGGAACGCCGTCGGCGCGTGGCGTCTACCCGACACAATGGTCGCTTTTGTTGGCCGTCGGCGCCCCCCCCCGTGTCCCCCTGCGTTTACAGTAGGTTTGTGCGGCGATCACCGCTCATGCTAAGGTTTTGACACCGCGTCGATCGTTCAACCTCGAACCGATCGCGGCCCCAATCGTTCAAGGTTGAATTCCCTGGGGTCGTGTGGCGTTACCATCTCTCGGTGCTTTCGCGTCGCTCTACCGTGTGTAACTCAACCTTGAACGCCTTCATTTGAGCTTCTTGGGAGCCTCTTGGGGGCATCTGGGGGGGCTCTTGGGAGCCTCTCGAGGCGACTCGTTGGGCCCCCTGGAAACCTCTTTGGGCGGAAGGTTTGGATTTTCGGCGTCTTTCGGCCCTCTTGGCCTCTTTGGGCCGCCTCTGTGAGTATCGTTTAACGATCCCCATCCCCAGCGGCGTGGCCTGGGACCCGCTGGCCGATTTACCCCCCTAGATGGGGATATAGGTCGTTCCCTGCGGGTTTCGAAGGGTGTATTCCCAACTGGGGTGGTAACTTGGTGGGGGTCTCGAAGGGGATGAGGATGTGGATGAGGGTCGGTTAAACGATACTGACTCTGGGAAGCGAACCGGGAGGGTAGCAGAAAGCTTCCCTGGATGGCCAGGGGGGGTCTATGAAGTTCAGCTATAGAGATTCTATCAGACACACCTATACACATCTATATATATACAACATAAAGCATATATATATATATATATCATTCTAAATTTGCGATGTCGTACTATGTTTTATCACACATATAAACCGAGTATGCATTACTGCATATATACACGCTAAAGGAATGATTTATCATGTATGTATAGTATATCATACAACACCTGATCATACTCTATAAATACATACTAGTGCCACGCGCGCGCTTCGCCCGCGCTTAAGTTCTAGCCGCGCCCCAAAAACTCGCATCGCAAGCTGCCGTTGAGGACTGCGGGGGCGATTCCGGAGCTCTTCCGGGGGTGGAGGGACCAGCGGCAAGCGAGTTTGGGGATGCCAGCGACGTGTAGGGGAGTCCTGGGGCTTCTTCAAGGCTTCTTGCGTTTCTCTGGATTCACTCGAAGACCGGAAGAGGAAGTGGAGGAAGAGGAGGAGGAGGAGGAGGAGGAGGAGCTGAACAAAGAAGGATTGTGCCCGAATCTGGCTCCGAAGTGCACGCCATTGGGGCCAAATCACGGAGCATCGAAGGTCGCCCCCTCCCCTCCTGACCACGCATCAGGGGCCAAACCATGGTGCAACGAAGGCACGAAAACCCATCTGGGTCGCACTGGCAGGGCCTCAAATTCGATGATAGTAGCTTCTCGGGGACTTTATTCAAGAGCTTCCAGGCCACATCCAGCTGTCTTTGGGCCGTCTTGGAGCATCTTAGACGCCTGCTGGAGATGCAAGATTGGGTGCCTTTGGCGGTCGTTGTTGGAGCCGTCTTGGAAGCATCCTCGGCTATGTTGGAAGTCAATTGGGACCCGTGGGACCGTTTCTGGAGCCGCTTGGGGTGTCTTGGGGCCCTCTTGGGGCCATGATGGGGCCGTCTTGCGCCCCTCATGTTGGGCCATCTGAGAGTCCTCTTGGATCTCTTGGGCCGTCTTGCATTCTTTCGGGTGTCCTTTTAGGCCATTTGGGGCCCGTTGGGGGCCCTCTGGAGCCGTCTTACGCCCATCTTAGGCCCTGTTGGGGCTCTTTGGGCCGTCTAGGGGCCGGGCGCGCTTCTCAAGCAAACGACGCGAATTCGCCGACCATGTCGGCGTGTGACAGGGCTGTCCGAACGCCATCTTGCCGCAAATTACCGGGACCCTAGCCGCCCTACAGGCAATCACAGAGAGATCTTGGTGCTGGTGCCACTTCGCACGGCAGCCGAGCTGTTCTCCGCGGCATGCTCGTTCACGGAGTGGGCGTCCATTGTCTTCCCGAAATATGCTTCCTTGGCCTTCCGCTGCAGGCGACGCCGCTGTGACCGGCTTTTCCCCTGAGGCTTCGAGCACATGTCCGAATCATCCAAGCTGTCGTTCCCATCCTTCTCCGCGTTGCTGTCAGACTGTTGCTCGGGGCCCTCCTCCTTTGCCAGGCGGCCTCCCCCGAAGGCTCCCGCCCGAAGGCTGAGTACGACAGCCGATAACCCAACCACTGGCCTGTTGCTGCTGGCCAGGCTCTCTCTGCTCGCCAGATCCGACTCTGAGGTCGTTGTGGCGTCAGAGGTGGGGTCCGACTTGGGGCGCTCGACCACGGTGACGTAGTCGATCCAGGGCGACGGGCAATCCAGGAAGGTGTTCTTGGCAGTCAAGCAGATTGGCCCGTCGGCCGCCAGCGGCGCCATGGTCCTATGAAGGCTCATTGTCCGTGGAGCCCAGAAGGCTCGCGGCTCGAACTGCAACGGATTGCGTCAAACAG